GAAAAGTCTCTAAACTAGTTGCTAAGCAATGAAATGAACGAGACTCAGTTTGTTTTTGTTTTACAGCCGAAACTTGGCATTTCAAACTCTTGTACAAAATTTTCGCAGCGTACTCATAACTGATGGAATAAACAAGTACTCTATTGCAGTAAATAAAAATAATAAAGGAAAGGAATCTTAGTATATGGTTATGCTCAGTTCAGGAAAGGCCTATGATTAGATTAGGTGCCTTTGAAAGTAAAATGGAGTAGTCAAGATGACAAGATCAAATGTGGTAGAAGATGAAAATTCCCTAACATTATAAGCTTGCTTCCTCAACAGTTCATCTAGAGCCTTTATCTTTCCATGTTAGTCAATGATAAGCTAACCAAGACATGCCTGAACTATGAAAGAAATCCAATCAGAAATGAAAAGGAAATAGTGAAAAAAAACTCAATTTCAATGTCCTGATTTCCTCAAGTCATAAGATGCCGATAGGGATAGGCAAAAACTAGGGAAAAAAGTTGTACATTTATTGCAAAGACTCAAGAAAGTCAATGTGGTGTTATATTCTTAGCCTTCAACCAAAAGTCTGCTTTCCACAAGAAAAAATAGAAAGAAACCTTCAAGAATTATGATCCAGATTACAATGGTTCTGTATCAGATGCAATCGCAGCGGCAATGGTCAGCTTAGTGGTGATGACTATAGTGCAGTGCTATAACAGAAGCACGGTATGACTTTGAGCATGGATTGAATTATACCATGGTGGGCGATGCATACAATAAAATTAACCGAGTAGTGTTAACATGAATCTGAGATGAAAAGGCAAACAACAGCGATAGTAAGTTTTGTTAATGCAATAATGCTGAGTATATGTAGTTGTGGTGGTCATGGTGGCTATGTCTAAAGTTGGTTATTGATATTTTGGTAAAAAAAAAAGGTCTTGAAGTAATGTGATTATTGAGAAAAACAAGTCCTTACTTTGCATCTAGTCTTCCCAACTGAACAGGTATTTTTGGACCTCCACATACCAAAATGGCCTCTGCTCCAGCAACAGCTATCATATCTGCCCAGGATACTGATAAGCATACCAGCAGCAAAGGAGTTAGATGGCTACATAATGACCACACACAGAAGCTAAGGAAACAGTTACTGCACAAAAGGAACCACATACACCCTAAATTAATTGGAAATTATACTTAGGTTAGTGTTGTCAATCATGCTCATCATGTTTAAGCCCAGAAAATTTTCTTTTCCTTCCTTTCTCTTAATCAGAAGTAAAATAAAGATTCTATAAACTATACCTGTTTTATCTTCCTTGTCAAAAGTCCCTGCATCATGAAAAACTAAACGAAGTAAACCAGCAGCTTTGGCCTTGGATAATACCTTCCTGATCTCTTCATGTAAGAGAGAACTTTCACTGGCACCATAGCTTAAGTTATCAGGCAATATTGTAATGAATAAGTATGTTGGTATACTTCAAAAATATTGTCATGTTAACTAATGCTAGCAAGAGTTTATTCCAGACTGTGCCAGGGTGCAGAATTTCTGATATATAGAAATGAATTTATGAATTATGAAGATAAGTTTGCAATCAAGCTGGAAAGAAAAAATTGGCTTCTCCAATTATCTATTTCATAACATTCCCACAAATTGTCTGGCAACTTACAAATGTCCGTGTAGGCTTTGCCATCGAAAAACTTCAAGTACTGTATTACTTGCAAGATGTACTTAAATTTACTTTTTGTTATAATCACTTAACAATACTCGCAGGTGCTCTTCATAACTAATCATTTGCCAATCACCCAAACTACTTTCGCCATATTCGAATGGCTCAAAAAGGCCAATGGACTATTCAATATTCAATAGTCAAAGCAATAGTATACAGCTCCCCCATTATTGCATTGTCAAGATTAATACTTGCTAACAAAAATCAGATATTTATTAGCTTCAAAAATGAAGTAAAAATTAAGGTTATGCTTTAGACTTACTCAGCAGCAACAGCATAATTGGTGCCATGAGAGAGGAGAAATGACGCCGTTGTCATATACATAAGCGCTCTCCTCCGAAATTCATTCGAATTTGATTTGCAAGACGCAGTTCCATCTGTAATAATTCAGAACTAATATTTCAAGAAAACAATCAAGAGTGTATTAATGCGTGTTTACTTAAAATATAATGATCCTTTACTTGAGGGAGAAGAAGCGGCGGAGGCAGAGGTGGGTCTTCTCCAGCAAAATTTGACTGGAAGTGAGGTTTTGACAGGAAATTTGAACTTGCTTCCGGAGGTAAAGGAAACGGAGGAGCAGAGGAACGACGGAGGACTTGTCGCGGCGGCGCTGGTGCTTCTCATCTTCAAAGGTCGGCTAAGAATGTATGAGCTTCCCGTTTTCTTCAACCTTCTTTTTTGTTTTTTTTATATATATATTTGCTGAACTTGAGTGAATTAATATTTTATTCTATTTTTCGTTATTCTTATCCAATTTTGTGTCATTGTTCTCTAAACAAAAGTAGACAATGAATTGAGATGACAAATTAACCCATAGTACTCGGATGTGTGTCGTCTAATCGAGAACGTGTGTCGTCGCCCTCAAATAAGGTGGTTACGTGAATCATGGTTCCCATCCCATTTAAAATTCATTTTAGAATACAATTTATTATTTCATATGAAAATAAAAGAATCATTATCATTTTTAGAGATGATGTGAATTTTCTACAATTCGAAAAAAAATAAAATAAATTCACGAAAACTAAAAATATTTAAAAAAATAAAAGCAAAATAATAGTACTCATAATAAATAGACAATAAACATGGCAGGGGACGCACCTCTATGGAGGCAAGGGAAAAAGATAAAAATACCCAATCGAGTTGGGATAGAAATGATGGCCCTGATTCCAACCCGCCCTGTTTCCATCCCCAAATGATTTGTCCTCGTTCTGAATGGCGCTGGATTCCCCAGTAAGTCTGGTAATTGAGGTTGGGACATAACAGGGTTCTCGCTTGGGCTCTTATAGTTTACAATGCAAACTGCAAATATGATATTGAGCTCTCATTCTGACTTGTATCGCAAAGTTTTGAGCTACTAAACTATATATATACAAGAAAAAACACAAACATATGAAAACCACAATCATGTCAATGGCTCATCATCATCATCATCTGCAGCTGCTATCTTGGACCAGAAAGGCGAACTGCAGAAAGATGAGCATCATTATTACAGTCTGACGGCCCTGATGAAGTGCCCCCCTCACTAATTGATTTGAAGAAATTTGAGTAAAGCCAAGAACCAAGTTGTGAAGCAGTTGGTGATGGGAGGACAGGATAGACCCCCTCGAGCATTTGCACTACTTTCGTCATTGGTGGCCTGAGGTACATATCATCCTGTATACACCATAAAGCAACTTTGATTACTGTGGCAAACCTTGCATCCTCTTCGACTATCTTCAGTTTAGTGTCAATTATGTCTTTAAATTTTCCTTCTTCCATCATCTTAAAAGCGAAGGATGGAAAATGAGATTTCTCTGAACTTTCTGCATGATCTTAGTTTCTTCTGCCACTGATCAATTCAAGCAACACCATTCCATAGCTGTAAACATCGCTTTTCTCTGATATAGCATAGTTTGTGATCCACTCTGGTGCGACGTAACCCCTGGTGCCCCTTAATGTGGTAAAAACATGGCTCTGCTCTCTAGTCATAAGCTTAGCCAGGCCAAAGTCTGAAACTTTGGCCATAAAATGTTCATCAAGAAGCACATTTTCAGGTTTGATATCACAGTGAACTATTTTTACATCACAGTCCTCGTGGAGGTAAGCCAGGCCTTCAGACTTTGGCCATAAAATGTTCATCAAGAAGCACATTTTCAGGTTTGATATCACAGTGAACTATTTTTACATCACAGTCCTCGTGGAGGTAAGCCAGGCCTTTAGCCGTACCCACTGCAATATTGTATCTTGTATCCCAATCCAACATCAACTCGCCTTTGTTTTTCCTGAAAAGCCATTTATCTAAAGATCCATTTGCCATGTACTCGTATACAAGAAGCCGGTGGCTTCTTTCAGCACAGAAGCCTTTTAAGCCTCACTAGATGAAGATGATGGATGCTGCCTATGATACTAACTTCAGCTCGAAATTCTTTCTTACCCTGACCAATAGCTTCCAATTTTTTCACAGCCACTCGAGTTCCATCAGAGAGAGTCCCCTGATAAACTGAACCAAACCCTCCCTGCCCAAGTTTCACAACAAAGTTACTTGTTGCAGTCTCAAGATCGTTATAACTAAAACGGACTGGCATCCCAGATAAACCCTCCAAGAAATTGTCCTCTTCCGAGCTCTCTTTTTGGAAATCTGGCACTTTCCTTTTCTTCTTACGGTAATAAAATCCAGCAAAAAGCAAACTCAGCATAACAAATATCAAAATTAAAACAATAATGACTATAGGAAAGCGCTTTTTGTCATTGCCTCCACTGTTTCCTCCATTACCTCCGTTACTAAAGATTTTGATGTAAGAATCATAGCCGGCCCCATTGAGTGATCCTTGCATGCTTCCTATCTGATCAAACAGAAAACAATTCCCTGAGTCGCTGTCAAAGAACATAGCTCCGCAAGAGCAATTTCGAAGGCAGGAATCTTTGCAGCCATTTAAGTCTGTTTTAGAGAACGGTTGGACAAAGCCAAGTGCGAAGTAGCTGATGCCATCACCTGGACTTACTAGCTCCACAGAATCCTTTGAGTTATGGCATGAAGGACGAGCTCCAAATTTGCAAGAGGGAAGTGCTGCTGGACACTGGCACTTGTTGCCAGTATAACAAACATAATAGGGATCACAAGCTGCAGGTCTGCTGCACTGATCCTCTGGTATTCTTAATGAGGAGGGATTTGTAGAACCTCCTTGAATCACGACGAAAGTAATGAAACCATCAGCTCCCAAAACAGCAACCCAAGTTGCATTTGCATTGCTATCATCAAATATAAATTGCCAGAGCAAGACCTTCTTTCCATCATAAAATCTCCAAGAATTGGCATTAAGAGTTGCTGAAGAGACGTTATTGCCATCTTTATTGATGGTTCTTCGTGTGTCACTTCCCATGGCCCAGTATGGCTGTGGGGGTTGAAAACCTGCGGAAAGAATCATTTCTCCAGACTTAATCTCAAGGGAATAGCTCAAGTTATTGGATCCAGGATCACTTACGAGTTTCATCCCTTCACCAAACTCCTGGTTTGGAAGTAGAGTATCCGTGGGATGGCTAAAACTCTGCCAAACTACACTTTCATCATTCCCACGCAAAACCAGATTTCCTGAGTCGAGCAATTCCATTGCAGAAACACCTTTCTTAGAGGTACCTGTGGACCAAATTGTGGTTCCGCCCCTTTGTAAGTAAGCATCCCCATTATCGTCAAACACGAAACTATCTGAATTCTGAATTGGGGAGCCTCTATTAGCAGACCACACTATAGAAGAACTGTCCTTGTGAATGACAACAAGTAGAAATAAGGTGACATCTTGGGTGGTGGTGAATCCAAAAGCAAAATGTGAATTGTTGGATACTAGAAACAACCCATCATTGTCAATCCAAAACATTTGAGATCCCTGAAATCCTGGCTTCAAGTTGCCTTTATTTTGAATACTAGCCATACAGGTTTCCAGTAAAAACAGAATAAACAAGCACAAAATAGTGATACACAAGAACGCCCAGTTTCCCATCAACAAGTATAACACAGCTGAATGGGAAAAAAGCAGAGCCAAATAAATATGACAATTTGAGTACGGAAAAATAATCAACCGAGAAAGTCCTAAAATTCCAAGACTAAGAAACAGATGCAAGAAACTCAGAAATTGACAGAAAGAAGGAAAGTCCCTGGGTACTTTTCACATAGCACAGTGAAAAATTACCCAATAATTCAAACTCGGAATTGGAGAAAGAATGACCCACAAGAGAATAGACCACGAAAACAGAGGATTACGTATGAGAACCGGCAAGTTGCTATAAAATGAGACTCCAATTGGCAGAAAAAACATTAAGGAGAAAATTCAAATTCAAATGCAAAAGCAATTATTGAGCTCAAAAAAGAGTTTGTGGTGCATATATTCTGGCGTACCAGTTACTGCGCTCAATTAGTCTTAAGGTGGAGATTGAAAGAAGAAAAAATACCAGTGAGGTTTTGATGGTGGCAAAATACAAATAGAATCGGATGAATCTGTTTCTGATTATGTCAAAGAGGTCTGATCTGAGGAGGGCATTAACTTGTGTTGTTCAAAACTCCGGTGGGCTAACAATATATTATCATCCCGTGATATGATTTTCGTCCAACGTTAAATATTTTCACTGTGGATTTGATTGATGTTTCCTTCCAATTTGCTTATATAAGGTGGGGTGGTAGATTGATTGGAGCAACCAATGCTGGAATTATATAATTAACTAAACGGCCAACTTCACTTCTTGGTGCATCAAATTCAACCCATTTGAAAAAATATGGGACCAATTTAAATTGTAATTATTTTCCCCGTTGTTTTGAGGATATGTGTCACGTTGATGAGTCGAGTAGACATTGTTGTCCATATTTGGCAGTTGTCTTGACAACTCACTATATTAGATGATATTAACAAATAAGAAACCTTACTAGTTTAATAATATCTAATATAAAGAAGTGTCAAAATTCTAATAAGAGAATCGTCAATGAGATAGATCTCAACTAGTACGTAACTAATTTCTTCCTTGTTTTCATTTCATAATCACATCAAGCTATTGGTAATTAGAGTCTATAATTTGGGTATCCTGAAAATTTTGCCTAATCAATTATCATCGTCATTGAATGCTAAAGCACACGTCTTCACCATGATATCAACGGAGAAAAAAAATTAATTGTTAAATGATTGAATCGGAGTACAATCACAATAAAAAAAATCAAATAAATGAAAATAAAATTATTATTTATTTTTAAAATTAATTTTCTGTTTTCTTGTGAACCGATCGATATTAGGGCAAAAGTAGGTTTTGGAAGTAAATTGATCCGTTCTAAATTTTGTAATGAGTTTGAAATTTCCAAATATTTAACTTATGTCGAAATCGAATTTCAAATTGTTCTTGATTTTTCTTGTCTAACCACAATCTTTCCCGCAAATCAGGTACTAACTAATTGGTGCAGTCTGCAAATCGAGCAATAATTTTTGACCATCCATGAACATGGTAATAATGAAGTAAGGATTGAAGAACTAATCAAATAATCTATAATATTGTATTATCATATCCGGGGATCGCAATAAGAGCCATCACAATAATGACAGGGAAACTAATTATTTAAATTATTCTTGTATAAAATATTGTATCCAATATTCTGATCGTACTAGAATCATGGATGGACAATTTGACGAGATACCATCTTAAAAACATTGTTTTGACTCTCTTTTTTATATTATTCGTACATTTTCAAATAATTTACAACTCGTGTCACACATCTCTATATTAGAATTCATTTACTAGATCATGTATGATTCTACACAATTAAAAGGTTGAAATCATCACACGTCTAGATAACTATTCATTCACTTGTTGAAGTTGAAATCTAGAAATAATATGAACGAATGCTTAGTACTCGAATAAAAATTTATATCTCAAGAGTCCGAAAGCAATCTTCCTATTGTTCATCCTCTTTTGATCCTTACAATTGTTGCACATCTAGAACTAGACGTAAGTCAAATGGTTCATATAGCTTGGATAAATGTGAAAAAGAGAGATGGTAAATTGAGTGATTCAATTGTTTTTTTGGTTGGGGGAATACCAAATTTTAAAAAAAAAAAAAAAAAAAGATCAATTTGTTGCAGCAAAATCCCCCAAACCTTTAAAACACTAGTAGATTTTCTTCAAAATCTTTCATTTGTTGCAGCCATCACTCTTTACCTTTCCAAACATCGCATGTTAGGCCCTTTTAGACGATTTACATCCAAATACCGTTAGTTGACCATCGAAATTAAGTTTGATCATATGTTAGTGCTTGTTTGGTAGAGATTTTGGGGGAATAATTGATTCTGAATAGTGATATGATGGGAAATGTGTGGTTGAAAAAGAAGAAAAAATTATTGATGTGATGAAAAATATTATTTTATTGAAGAATATGTGGTTGAAAATGAAAATTGATTTGAGAATTGATTTTGAGAATCAGAAACAAACAACCCCTAATAAATTTTAAAAGTGTAAAATAGTAACTTTCTATTTACCACATTAAACAATTAAAAAAACAAAAATCATAAAATTTAAAAATAAATAAAAGAAAAAATATCTCTCTTCTTTAACCATCCCTCGCCCCACCCCCAAAAATTAAAATCAAAGAGCTATCATCAATTGTCGACGGCGACATCGGCGCTACCTCCATGGATCTGTAAATGGTGAGTGGGTCAAAGAATTTCAAAACAGACTGAATGGAAGAAGATTAAGCAAGAATTGAAAGCTTTCAATTCGTTCACACTCTTCCAGAATTTTTTTTGAAACAACTCCAAGATCCCCAAAAGGAAAATGGCATCTTCTGGTAATTTTGATACCTCAAAAAATGCAACGTTTTCTTCTTCGTTGCTACCAGATGACTAGGAAATAATCAGAAGAAGTAACCATGGTGTAGAAGGAAGTCTCCATGGCATCCTCCATGTAGGTGGTGAAATGGGAAGCCTTCTCCATGTAGATGGTAGTGAAGTGGGAAGACAAGGAGGTTGTGAACGGAGGAGCCACAATGAGGAAGAGGGAAGTCTCCACCAAAATGTTGGTGCTGAATGGGGAATCCTCTAGCTTGAAGGTGGTGGAGGACTGTTGACGACGACACAAGTGGCAATAGAGGGCTAGCTTGAGGTGTCTCCCCTGTCGGTTGTCTGTGCGATTCCATGAAAGATGAAGACAGGGTTATTTCGATTTTGATGTCGATTTCCTGTGCAACATTAGGGGGCCGTCGCTCGTCGGAAGTCATAATGGTTCTTCCAATTAGCAAGAATCGCGGTAGCAAGCACTGGTGGTCGGATGGCGGTCACGAGTTTATTTTTTCTTGTTTTGAGTTGAGGGGTTGGGGGGTGGAGGAGGAGGAGATACATTTTCTTTTATTATCATTATTATTATTTAAGGGTTTTAATTGTTTAACGTGATAAATAGAAAGTTAGTACTTTATCCTTTTAAAATTGATTAAAATATAGTCAAATTTAATTTTGGTGGTCAACTGACGATATTTTTGATGAAAACCATCCAAAAGGGCTTCACAGGCAACGGGTGGAAAGGTAAGGGGCTACAACAAATGAAATGTTTGGAAACATTTTGCTAATATTTTACAGATTTGGAACTTTCGCTGCAATTATACCAAAAAAAAATATAGAAGTCCAAATTTAAGAGCAAAAGCGGTTGTACTTGTTGAGTTTTGAAAAATAAAGTTATTAATCCATAGACAGGTAAAAGTGGGAAACTACTTTAGCTCAATTGAGCAAAAGCGGTTGTACAGTTGTACTTGTTGAGTTTTGAAAAATAAAGTTATTAATCCATAGACAGGTAAAAGTGGGAAACTACTTTAGCTCAATTGACACTAGCGGGAGTGCGACTTTTTCATTCATCAACCGTCATTAAAAAAGGCGTTAGGTAGCACTTTCGTTTTTAATATTAATTTAGTTTGTGCAGTATTTCAAACATTGGTTCAACTTTCATATCATTTTGAGTCGAAAGGAACTGGTTTATTTTGGAACTTGAAGTAGGATAATGAATTTAAAACTGTCATTTGTGATGAGGTTTGCTACGGGTGGGATTGAATTTAGGGTTAATCCATTTGTACTTAATAGATTACCCCCTCTCACATAATGCGCTGGGTCCGCGTGTATTTAAAAATTCTGACAATATGATCTCATTCCCATTGTGAGTAGTAGGTAAAATATTCGGTAAAAAAATTCGATAAATGTAGCATGATCCTTGAATTTATACGCTCTTCATTATTTTTTATTGCTACATATCCAAAAAGATTTATATGGAGGACTAAAACTTAACAAAGTTAATGTAATAAAATTTATATTAATAAAAAAGTCGTTAAAGAAGAGTATAAATCTATTTTCTCAGCAAGTTATCTTTAAAAAAAGTATCATACAATCAGTAAGAAAGTCATTCTCTATTTTATTGAGAAGTATTGTCTTCATATGTTTCCAAGTCAAAAATGTCAGTCCAGTACTCGTGGTAGAAACATCAATACAAGACAAATCAATCTAGTCACTATAATGTCTCGACCTTCTACTCTCAGTCAATAGTCGGTATAACTCAACAAGTATAGATACTTGAAATCGAGACTCACTATTCATATCTATCTCATAATGTGTTAACTTATATTTCAATATAATAATATCTTACTTCTTGAGAATAGAACTTCTTTGCAAGTATGCAAATATCACGATTGGCAAATAATTTAAATGAATCTTTAGGGTCTAAAAGCTACCCAGATAGAAAGGAGTTCTACTAACATATTATTAAATCTTATATTTAACTCAATCGTCACGAAATCTATTATTTCATTGAAAACAAGAAAGTAATAATAATGTCCAACTATAGTGTCATTATTAGAGCGATTAGTATTTTACAAAACTTCTAGATCGGGTATTTTGATATTTTTTTTGGGTAATTAGCACAT